AAAGAAAAATAAACAAGACATAAGAAATGGAAAATTATTTGTTGATAACATGTATGTTGATGTGATTGATTGCGCCAATAGACAGTGTATTTTGAATGGAAAATTCATTTTGTATACTGTAATGATGTATAGGGAATTAATGTAAAAAAATTTTTTAAAAAGAAATGGAAAATAAACAAATAAATAAAAAATAAAAGGCTATGATAATCATAAAAAATCAATAGAGAAATTTCTTTTATTTTCCATTTTTTTATTTACATTCATTCACTGTACATCATTATAGCATATAAAATGAGATTTTTCCATTCAGTCATCTGGTGGATGGTTGGTTTCTTCCCAAACCTGGAAGTTCAATCACATGAGTTTTGTATACTGGAGGCCGAATTATCAGTGGGACCTCTTCATTTCTCCATTTCCCCCAAAACGGCTAGATTGCAGGAGCCATGGAGCTGTCTCTTGCAGAAGGCCTGTTCTGTTCCCTTCTGCCTCTCCTGGGTTGGGAGGGGCAGAGGGAATTATTAACAAGATAAAGGGCTAGAAGGGGCCAACAGGCCCAGAAAGATGCCTCATCTTAAAAAAAAATTCTAAAAAGCAAAAATTAAAAAAAAAGAGGGAGGAGACAGAGAAAGAGAGACAGAGGTAGAGAGAGACAAAGACAGATACAGAGACTGGAGGCCTGAAAGGGATTGAGACAAAACACGAGTTTTGTATGCTGGAGGCTGAATTATCAGTGGGACCTCTTCATTTCTCCATTTCCCCCAAAATGGCTAGATCACAGGAGCCATGGAGCTGTTTCTTGCAGAAGACCTGTTCTGTTCCCTTCTGCCTCTCCTGGGTAGTATCTGCTTCTTTATCATTTTTTTCTCCTGATAATTTGATGACAACCACAAGTCAAGATTTATGCAAGCTTTCTGTAAAGAAATAAGACTAGGAAAATGAATTTAAAAATCTTCTGTTGGTTGGTACATTTTATTAAAAGATAAAAAAGGTTCAGATAATTTTAGTTAGATCAGATATTTAAAAAAGAAAGAGGGAACTGCTGTTTAAATGTCTTTACTCTTGACTGCCAATTAGCTAGATAGGTAGATAACAAGTTTTCCAGAAGGGGTCTTAATTCATTAGCATCTGTCAACAAATTACTTAAGCATTTACAAGGTATGTTAATTTCTCCCATAGAGAAGACTGGGTTTTTCCTTAAGAGAAGGGTTTAGTCTTTTTAGGATGGAACCATTCTTTACTTCCTTCTCCACTAATGGCATTTAGCTTTCCTTGCCTCCTGTATCTCTTAATCATTAAGGTGGCTTCCTAAATGGTCATTATATTATCAGAAACTATTATTCCAACTCATCTCTTTTATACTGTAACCAAAATGATCTTTCTAAAATACAAATTTAATCACATCTTTCAGTAAGTTAAAAAGCTCTCCACTGGGACTAGCAGATGATGTAATTGTTGCGTTGCTGAACTTCTGTGTAGTTATCCACAGTTTGAGTCCCGGACCTGATGGCTTGAGATTGATGGTGGGCATGTGTGCGTACATGCCCAAAATCCCAAGAGAAGAATGGAAGAAAAGAGATTGCCACATGGCCATCTCCCCTGGGGATTGATTTCTTGCTTTCTGTTTCTCTCTGTTGTGTTTCTCCAGAGAGTGCATGAACCCTACAGCAAAAATCACTCTCTAAAAAAAAAAAAAAAAAAGGATGAAGAAAAGAAAAAAAGCTCTTCATTGGAGATTGAAATCTAAAGTCCTTAAAACCGCTTCTTCAAGATTTGTCTCCATTCTCCTTCAGTCACTCTTTCGTAAAGACTTTCTTCTATTTGCAGGAACAAACAAATCCTTTATTGAGTTTTCTAAGGACTCATGTGATTTTATTTATGGTTTCTTTTTCTTCTCCTTCTTTTTAGAAGATTTAATTCATCCTTAAGACTCTAAGTACTCTAGTACCATTCTCTAAAGTACTGTTACTGATGTCCTTTTGGGATTGCCTTTCCTCCTCTCTGCTAAGTAGTTCTTTATCTTTTGTTTAAGAAACACAGCACCTAACATATGACAAATGCCATATTAAACTCTTCTAAATATTTACTAATTTATATTTAGAATGAATATTAACTTGTAGCCTTATGAAATAGGTACTGATTTTGTCCCTATTTTATAAGTTAAAAACTGGAGCACAGAGAAGTTAAGTTACTTGCCCTAAGTCACATAAATCTTAAGTGCTATAGCTGGATTCAAACTCAGGAAATCTGATTCTGAGTCTTCCCAGAGTCCATTTTTTTTTTTTGATAGAGAGATTATTGCTATAGGGCATATGGACTCACCAGAGAGACAGAGAGACAGAAAGCAAGAAGTCACCCCCCCACCAGGGGTTGGCCATGTTGCAATTTTTTGGGGCACACATGCACACAAACCCAGTGTGAGTTTTAAGATGCTGGGTCTAGGACTCAAAACATGGTTAACTATATGGGAGTCCAGCAATTTAACCATTATGCCATCTACTGGTCCCAGAGCCCATTCTTTTAACCATTATGTGAAAGTGTTCCTTATAAACCATTATACATGCATATTACCATTATATATACATTACATACGTGTACATTATGCATGCGTATTACAATTCTTCTAACATTATTGTATTTTTATTTTAACATATTCCACTTCCTCGGTTAAACTCTTAAAGAACAGAAACTGTCTGTTTTTATTTTGTTTCTCCAATTCCTGGCTCAGCACCTGGCATGAAATGGGTGCTCAAAAAATGCTTGTTAAATTGAACTGAATTAAGATTAAAGCTATTTTGTTTGTCTTCCCTCTGCTGATAAATGGACATGCAGGGTAGTAGTTTGCCTTGAGGTTTGTTTATACACAGTGGGAGGAAAGGTAAGAAGATAAAAGCAAGTTAGTTCAGCAAAAAGAAAGAGAATACTAGCAAATGATCAGAAAACACCATTAAATACTATTTACAGAAGTTCTTTTCAGTAATGAATATTTACTCTAGCCATTTAATGAGGGTGGATAGAAATTTACCCTGCTGCCATCAGGCCTTGTTTCAATAGGGCATATCCACTGACCGGAAGGAAGTGGAGTAATATAAACTATTTATGCAAGTCATTGGAATAAATGTGAACACTTTGAACATGGCTAGTGAGCTTGACCTGTATTCTTTGGGAAGGGAAATGCTGCTTCTGATTAAAATCCTGATAGTTCAAGTAGGAAAAACTAGACTAATTGAATCATCAGAGGGGGGAAAAAAAAGAAAAAGAAAAAAAGACCCACATAAATCTCTTCATAGGGGAAAAAGTAATAAAGAAAGATCAAAGAAAAAATAATCACTTAAGCTTTATCATTTAGATAATGAATATTCTCATGGAAGCATTTGGCACTAATGAGCTCTAATGTGACTATAGGATTACAAAGCTGTTGTCATGGCAATTGATAATACATATGATACCCAATGAAATACCAACTAAATCTATTTTAAAATGTACATTGGACTTGAATAAATGCCAAATGGATATAAGAATGGAAGGCACCAGTGAAGAAATGGTAGCATTGTCTTTTCTCTTATATAATAAGTCTTCAAATAAATGAACCCACATCATTTTAGAGATGATTAGCTTTTTTTCTATCAATCACTAGGAATTTAATTATATAAAATTATCAGAGCTTATTCAGTAAAGCTACGGATTCAAAATTAGAATTGTTGAAATGAAAACATCTGCAAAGTATATTGAGTTCAAACTCCCATCAAATACAGATTGTTTGTTTGTTTGTTTCTACAACATTTCTTAGGAATATTTATTTTCTCTAAACCTATCCAATTTGGGAAACTTAATACCTATAACAATTATTTCCACTTTTGCCCAGCTTTAATTGTTAGAATGACCCTGAATAGAACAATACTAACTTATATCTCATTTAAAATTAAATGTTAATATAACTACATTTTTTAGTTTATTATTTTTTTAATGTCAGAGGGCACATGTGCTTGTCAGAAAAAAGAGAGAAACCTCTAATAGGGTGGGGTCGTGCCATAATCCTTTTCCTCCATCTCTCCATTTCACCTGGATTTTGGGCATACATACACTACAACTTCTGTTTTGTTGCATCATTCCTTTGCAGACTTAACAAACATTTATTTGGTGCTTAGTCCATGCCAAATTTCAGTAACCTCCAGACTAGAATTATATAAATATTGGAAGTAAAGCAAAAGAAAGAAGCAAAAATATATAATGCTCTGTAGAGTTAACATTTAGAACGAACAGAACTAGTTCCTAAGTGTTTCATATATAGCGTCTATTATTACACGCATTGCTTACTAGCATGTAGTGGTGAGTCCTTACTATATGGCAGGCACTATATATACTAAATGTTTTATAGGAATTTGTTTATTCTTCACAACAATCCTATAGAGTAGATACTATTATTATTATTATTTTGTCTATTTTACAGATGAGAGAAGTGAGGCACCAGGAACCTGGTGGTTACGTTTTCAAGGTTACACAGCATCTAAGTGGAATGACCAGAGATCCATGGCTCCTACATTAAATATTATGATTATAAACTCCCAGATTATTACTTTCATTGCACAGTTAGAAGTGTCAACAGAAAAGTCTTTCATCTTTTTACTTCAAGGCAAAGAAGGTAAGAAACCCATTTTCTGGAAAAGGTGAGAGAAATGAAACCAGAGAATTTGAAACTGAAATCAGATTTGACGACAGAAATAAAATCTTTTCCTGAGAATTTAGTGAGCACTTGAAAGAGAATATTTAAAGAGAAAAATGATTTGGTAACATCTGTTTAACAGAATTAGGAACCAGATCCCATCTTTAGGAGAAAAATGTCAAGATTGTTTTAGCATCACTCAAATCCACCTCTATTATTAGAAAAATAAATGATACAAAGCATAGGGCCCTCAATGTCATCCAAGTCCTAACAATGTCTTCTGAACAGGTCCAGTTCACAAATTGCTATATCAGATGCAGTATCAATCATCCCTTAGGTCTCTCTTCCCTCATAGAATGGCATAGGCATATACAGACTAAAAATAATGTGGGTCAAAGGTAGTAAAATAAAAATGTCTCAAGCAAAGAGCTTTATTTTTTGGGTGACTATCTGTTAGGCTTTTTACCATACAAAATTAGATACAAGCAAAATGAGGCTATAGTTTTAAGATTGCAGAATAAATTGTGAATTAGGTTTTAACCCAGAAGAGTTTTTGAATATCTGCAGTGACAGACATATACCCCTAAAGCCATTTATTCTGTTAATGGTTTCTCCCACTTCTTTTGATAGTGGTTTATCTTTCTTTAAATACATTTTTCTCAAGTTAAAGGCACCCATGGACCATTAGGTGACTTGGAGGTTAATATGGCTAGATCCCACATGGCTGACTGCAGTTTGAGTCCTGGACCTGGCAGCTTGAAAAACATGTGGGCATGTGTGTGTGTATTCCCAAAATCCTGATAGGAGAATGGAAGAGAAGGGACTGTGGTATGGACATATCCTCTGGGGGTGATTTCTCTTCTCTCTCTTGCTCTCTGGTAAGCATATGCTCTCTGAAAAGTAAAAGCAAAAAAACAAACAGAAAAAAAACCCCACAATTAGATTCGGTCCGTTAGGAAGGAAGAGTTTAGGCTATATAATAGGATAATAAAACACTGCATTGTTTAACTATCTGTAAAAAGTGAATGATGAGTATGAATTTGCTGAACATTGAAAGGCTATTCTTCCTATATGTGAATCAATCTGACAGATTGTCATATGAAAGATATGTTCATGACACCAAAAATGTGCTGATATTCTATAAATATGATCTATTAGATCATTGGGAGAATCATGACACATTTCTGTGTAGAAAAACATAGAAAAATATGTCATGATTTTTCTGATGACCCAATATAAATGTTTGGTTGTTAAATAGACTTAGATGAGGGAAAGATGTGGAACTGTCAAAAACTTGTAGTCTGATGATGTTATTCGATGCAGACTGTAAAATAAAATAAATTCTTTTTAGAGAGGCTCTCTCTCTCTCCATGAACATGGATTGGTAACATATTATCACCAAAGCCCCAATCTGCTTCGATCATAGCACATAAATAATCTCTGACCATCATAAGAGAATTTGATTTGCTTTTTGTACATGGTTAAGAAGGAATAAATGAGCCAGCCTATGGCATGATGGTTAAAGTGGCTGGCTTCCATGTGGCCAAGAGGAAGGTTAGAGTACCAGGCACAGTGGCTTGTAAAACATGCCAGGTGCATGCCCAAAATCCTCAGAGGGAGAGGGAGAGGGGAAGGGATTATGGAGTGGTCATCCCTCATGAGCTACTTTCTTATTCTCTCTCTCTGTCTCTCTCCAGCAATCATATGCACCCTCTGGTAAAATTTTTTAAAAAAAGGAAAGAATTCAAATTTGTAATTTTGTAAATTAAGAAATATTCAGAATAAAAGGGTCATTTAGTATTCAACAAAAACTATTCCTAATGACAACATAGATTTAATCATAAATAATTGGATAGCAGATGATCGATTTCACCAAGAGAATGATCAAGGACCCTGAGCAGATTAATTTGACTGATTTAACATGGGGATATATTAAGAAGCAATACCAGCACATTCAGAAGGCTGTGATGGTGCCAACAATCTATATGAACCACTGGGCATTGATTATTTGTTGAGGCCTTGAGCCATTTTTACTACAGAACTCAGGGCCTTTTAGATTCTTAGGCAATGTTTGATAAACATGGACTCTGATATTGGCAGTGGCACCGAAGTGATCACTCAATCACTCAGGGCAGAAACATGGTGATAAAAATCTCAGCTAGAAACACAGTCTAAGCAGATGTTTTATAATCAGTCTGCTGTAACAAATGGAAGTGTTTGAGGATGGGAATATGAGATTTTTTTTACAGGATTTGAGTCTTCATTCCTCTATGTATTATTCACATGAAGACTAAGACCCTTGTTTCCTTATCTATAGACTGAGAATAAAGAACACTTTCTTAGAAGAGGAGTAACAATTTTGTTTAGAATGGTAGTCAGCAAATGGCATCATTATGATTGTTGTGAACATGAATTGAACACTTATGTGTGCCTGCCAGGCTTTGTGCTAGGCTTTGTGAAGTATGGTAAGATATCTGAGGCATATGTTTTAACGAGCTGGCTCCTTTGGGGAAGTGCAGACAAAAAAAAAAAAAACATACAAAACAAACAAAACAGAAGACATGAGATAAAGGTTGGAATATTGGTCATTTATGTTTGGCACAATAGAAACATATGTTCTTAATATGACTTTGATAAAATCTGTTAGCCAGTTTTTCTATTTACTGTCCCTTCTTCCCAGTAACATAGATGAAAACAACCTTGCCAGCAGCGAGATGGTTTTTTACAAACATAGTTGTAGGCTTCATCTCACTATCTTGTAGAATTGCAAGAGAACTAAGAAGTAATTCTTTATGCTTAACTTTGAGGTAAGGCAGCCCTTATCTAAGAGCTTGAGACCTGATAGAAGACTATGATAAATTTATTAGATTGTTGGGAAAGTCATGATATATTTTTTTGCTTTACTATGTAAAACTCCATATGACCTTCCAATGACTATATATATATACACACACGTGTGTGTATACATATTATAAATAAATAATATATATTTTTACATAATAATCATATATATATATATATATATAGTGTGTACTAATCATAATTTACAGAAATAGAATCTGAGTCTAAAAGTTAAATTCTGCTTGCTTAAAATACTGTTCAAACTTCTATCACTATAAATCACTTGTGTCCGTTTATTTGTTTGTTTTTTTTGTTTTTTTTGAGAGATTTTCACTGTAGGGCACGTGTGCTCGCCAGACAGACAGAGAGAGACATAGAGACAGAAAGCGAGAAATCACCCCCCAGGGGGGATGGTCACGCCGCAATCCCTTCTCCTCCATTCTCCTCTCGGGATCTTGGGCATGCACGCACACGCGCCCGGCGTGAGTTTTAAGCCACCGGGTCCGGGACACGAACCGCGGTCGACTACGTGGGAATCCAGCGACATAGCCATTACGCTAACTGCTGGTTCCCTTGTGTCCGTTTTTGAATCTCATATAAATGGAATCAGGCAGTATGTACTCCTTATTGATTGACTTATTTCACTCAATATTTGTATATTACATTTATCTACAATGTTGAGCATATCAGTAGTTTTTTATTGCTGTAGAGTATTTCATCTTATGAATAAAATATGAATGATTTGCCTGTCTCACTATTGATAGATATTCTCAGTTTTAGACTATCCAAAACAAAACGGCTATAAACATTCTCACAAATGTCTTTTGGTAGTGATAAGCAACAAGGCAGATACCCAGGGATAGAATTACATGGTTATTGGGTATGCATACTGTGAAACACTCTTCCACAATGATTTTATTAATTTAGACTTGGACCTACAATCTAAGAGAGCACCAGTTGTTCTAGATGCTGGAGAACAATTGATATTGTCAGTCTTCTACTTCATAATTAATGCTTTGTATGCTTTTAGGTATGAGGACTATACTATTTTAACAGGTCTGTAGGAAACAAAATCACATACAAAAATTAAGGTAGAACACAGTTGACTTCAGTTCCTCTTGACTTTAATTTTTAGCCTGACATTCCTGTGGTATGCAATGCTTTCCCTCTATTTAATCTCTTCCTTCTTGGTTTTGGGCACACCTTCAGCATCTTGAAGAAATTGTCGTTTTTATATGTCTTGCCATTGATGTTAAATAAGCTCTCCCAGAAGATTTTCCATTTTGTGATATCTAAAAACATGATAATGTCTGTTCTCTGCTTATCTGTTGACCCAGTGTTGACTAGCACTGGCCAGAAGAACTGATAGAGGAGATTCAGTTCTCTGAATATGTATCATCACACAATCCCTGAGCTGCTTCTAGCTATCTTTTGCATAATAGACATTTAGTAAATATTTGTTGAAATGGGTTGACTTGCTTCTTTTTTTCTCTGCAAAATTACTCTGACATGTGGTTATTCCTATTATAACCATTATACTTTTCAAGAAAATTGCTCAGAGTTTGTACATTTACCTGAAATGCCTTAATTTATCCACTTCAGTGCTTTTAGTCTTAAATGATATGATCAGAGGAACAATATTGTGAGCTTCCTAAAACATAAATCTGCCCATAATGGACTCAAAAATAAGCTTTTAGCTATTTTTTTTTGAGATTTTTTTTTTTTTTTTTTTTTTTTTTTGCTACAGGGTGAGTATGTTTGCCAGAAAGAGAAAGACAGAAAGACAGAAAGACAGAAAGTGAGAAATCACCCCCGAGGGGGAATGGCCACACTGCAATCCCTTCCCCTCCATTCTCTTCTTGGGATCTTGGGCACACACGCACATGCAGTCAGAGTGAGTTTAAGCCTCTGGGTCGGGGACTGGAACCACAGTTGACTATGAAGGACTTCAGCGACATAGCCATTTTGCTAACCGCTAGTCCCGCTTTTAGCTATTTTTAAGGAGAAACTGGAACACTATTTCCAACAACCTAGTACTTCAGAAATTACATGTTTTGCCTCAGACCGTTGAAAGACCATGGTCAATATGGAATACAGTATCTTTTAATATTGCATGAAAATATTTGCCTAAA